AGGAAAAAAAATTGGCAAATCAGATGTGGTGTTTTGGTCTTACTGCCAAAGCTGCCAGCATCTCTCAGCCATTTCAATTTGCTGTCCTCTTTTGTTGCAGACAAGAGTTCCCCCCCCGCCATGTCCTGCTAAAATTGCTACCAGTGTTCTCACTTCTTTGTTGTGTTCTATCAGGCAGACCGACTCATGACAGAAAAACACATGCCTGAGGCAACAAAACCTCATCATGCTTAACTGCTGTATGCTTGATCCTTCCCCATAGTGTTGATTGTACATGTGTGTGTGTGACCAAGGTGCATCTGTCCCTTGTTAGATATCAAGAATATGTCTAATTGTATCTTAGTACATGGAATCTGCTGTGAATATGTGCTTATACTGCTGTATCTTTAAGAGAAGTGGTGATAACCTGTTTGGTGTTTACCATGAGTAGCTTGTGGTAAGGGTATGTATATATGTGATTACCATGGAGGAACTGGAATTTGACTTTGAAGCCTGTCAGTGTCTCATGGAAACTTGTTTGTGCCTCCTTGGTCTCAGCAGTAATGGAAGAGTTTGAAATTCTTTTTGGAGGTTGCTTTAGGAAATTCATGCTGTAAATATTCCTTTTTCTGTTACCAGAATCCCATAGTTAACTTTGAACAGCCACTGCATCTGGAGAATTGGTTCCCTCGTCAGCTGATCAGAAGCAAAAGAGAAGAAATTCGAGACCTGATCTTGCAACTGCACTTTCAACAGCATAGTGGCAGCAGCAGCTAATAAATCTAATAAGCCAGACATGGCAAAGAACATTGCTGTACAAAGTAACTGGAACTCTGCTAAGCAGCATTTGGGCTCTTTTTGCCTTGCAAAGAAGACAAAAAAAAAAAAACAAAACCCACCACAAGAAGTATTTTGTTTGTTCAGTGTATTTATTTAAAGAATTTTTTTTCATTTGGGTTGTGTAGTCATAGAATGCAGTTGGGGGGGGGAAGGAGAAGGTTGTAGATAAAAGTGTAAATATGTAAGTTAAAGCTAATATATATGGATTGCTAATTGATTCTTTACTTGGAATATGAAAGCTGCGTATAGGCGTGTACCACAAGGATCTAAAAATATTTTCATCTTTTGGAGCCTGTTCTTTACAAGAAGAAACATGGATGATCATGTAGGTGTCAGGCCTGAAGACAGGATTTTGACCCTATACTGTGTCCCTTTTGATTTTGCAGCTCATACAGATAGAATGAATACTGTGTATTGTTTTAATTTGAGGATCCAGTATTGACTCTGTTTAGAGATGTATTTTTTGTTTTGTTTCTGATTATATACAGAAGTAGTCTGCATGTGTCAGAAAATTCTGCCAGGTTTTGAGGCTGTTGAGTTGATTTTTTTAATTTTTATTTTTCTCCCTCCCTAGCATTTTCATTATAAAAATTTATTTCCATGAGTGGAAGACATTTGCTTCATAGTGACTGTTGAAATCTTTTAAAAGTCAAGAGTGGATTTTTTTAAAGTATTTTTTTATGAATTTTTTTTCGTAGCAAGATTTTAGAAGAAATCTTGCTCTCAAAGTACATGCCGATATAATACATGTAGGCAGTAGATTTTTAATCCTATTCGCCTTATTTTTGGAAGTTATACCTGCACATCTTATGGCATCACTTGCATTAGAAAGGCAAGCAGGTTGTGCCTCAACAACCTCAAAAGTTTGAGGTGTTTTACTGAAAAATAAGGCCATTTTCATTCAAAAAGGTCATTATGTTGTATATAATGTCTTTAGGATATGTAATTTACATATAAGACAAACAGGATTTATACTTTGCTCAGGAGAATTGAGTAAAGATGCCCATATATTTGAGTGTTTGAACTCGGACTTGATTTGATAAGCTAGCACAAGTTTATCGTTGTCTTAATACATATTTATGTAGTTTTTCCTCAAACAGTGATCACATAAAACTTCAATAACATTTTGACATGTGCACACTTTTTTCTGTAGTTACTGCACAATAGAAGGTGACTGTTTTAAGAGGATGTTTTCTCCTGTTCCCCACTCTAAGTAAACTTAAGTGTCATTGCACCCTTCAGAAGGACCGTGTGCCAGATAACTACCAAAACCACCTGTGTCATAAATGTATCTTCAGAGCTCTTAAACCTGGAAGAAGCTAGAGAGTTAAAATAAAAATTGAGGGCAACCCAAAGATGTGAACATTTTTACGGCATTGCAGAATTCTCAGGGCCCCTTCCCTCAAGACAACTCTGAAACCTAGCATTTGGAAAATCCAGTTATTACTTCAGGTTCTGTACAGTCATCCAAAAAAATCCCCCACCATTGTTTCTCAAACCAGGAAGCATTCTTTCTGGAGAAGAGAGGCAATTTTAAAACAAAATAATTTGCTGAGCACAGTTAGCTTCTGTATAGCTGTGAGCAGCCTAGTGCAATTACTGTGTGGTTTTTGTCTTTGTTTTTACTTTAATTCTGTAGTTTGTCACGACCCCCCCCACCATCTGTCCTGCTCATCCCAGAGGTTCTGTGGCTTTCATCACCTAAATCACAACATCAGCATTACTTACAGGGATAATCTGTGTATTTATTGTAAGACAGATGAAAGATAAAATGCAGGAATGTGTGCCCTTTCTCTACACCTTTTTAATTGATGCATATTTTCAATGTTCCCTTATGACAAATAGCTTGGGCTTTTTGTTATGGTAAAGTTAGTTTTATCATGAAGTAATTTGTTCTTTTTTAGATTGACTGGTTTATAGATATTTAAAAGCAAAAGTAATGTATAAACTTTTCTAAGTTGGTTTTATAACATTAAAGGATTGCCTTTGTAGATTTGTTAGATACGTGCTATGAGAATGCCAATACATTTGATATTAAAATTATCTCCAGAAGTTGCTGAATGTGATTGTTATCATTCTTTTCCCAGCTGCCACAAATAGCCAGTGAGCTAAGCATAAGATAGGCCATCTTACTTCTTTTAAGGTATATACATAGTATGTGTATCTTAACCCAATTTGTTTCAAAGTGGTTATTTGTTCTCCAGTCCTTATAAAGGCATGCAGCTAGTTCACAGCTTCTTGTGGCAAGCAAGGCTGTTTTTGATTCAAGAGCCTTACAGTTGTTTTCTGTAGTTAGGCCAACAGTCTTGACAGCCTGAATGGCTAGCCTGAGAAATTCCTGGGTCCACCAGCTGCAACCCACCTCATTCCAGCCATTTGCATTTCACATATATGTGGTGAATGCTAGGAAGTGTCTGTGGAAAACGTTACACTCCAGGTACCTTCGTGCTTCCTTTTTACCTGCTAGAATTCCCCAAAGATAACTTTTAGCATATATAAGGCACCAGACTGACTCGGGGACCTTTTTGCACATCTCCTGCATCTCCATTTGCCTGTATTAATCCCTGTTAATGGTGGAGTAGTGTGATACTTCAAAGCAAACCAATCTTTGTAAGGCTCTTTACCCTACACTGTGTAATTTTGGTTTCAAGGCAATGAATTGTACTCAAAGTGTTAAGTGTAGCTATCAGTTTCTTTAAAAGAAAGTGCTACATTCTGGCTGTGTGGGACCAGAAGCTGGCTTCCATGAAGAAATCTGAGTCATGAAGATCCGTTTAAGCTACTATTGGCAAGCATGACACAAGAAACGAGGTGGAAGAGAAGTAACTTGTAGGAAGTAAATCTTCTAAGAAAAACAAAAAACCCCTAGTTTTCATCAAGAACTGGAGAAGTGAACCATGAAACTGCAAGTTTTTTACTTGCAGGTTTTTTTTACTTTTTTAAAAGTATCTGTGGACTGCTGTGGTTTTCCTCTGGCATTGCAGGCATAGATTCGTTGCTGTCCATCTGTCCTTTCTGGGAGTCACCTCCTAGAATTTGACCCTGAAATGAGCTTGCAGTACTCAGTAAGTACTACACCTTACAAAATAATAAAGACTTAAAAGCCACAGTAGTAACACTTTTATCTTGATTATGACAGGGGAGCAGAATATTGCTTCTGGCAACCCCCCAAAAAAAAGACTCTGGTTTCTAGATGGAAAAGCAGGAATTGTAAAATGAGACCTGAAAGGTCTCAGGATTTAAAATGTTTCCATTAATGGTCGAATAAAACCAAGACCAACAGCAATAATTCTGTCCAACCAAATTGAAGTTGGAAACACTGTTCAAAGATGAAGCACAGGCACTGGGATCATCTTTGACTGTTGAGCAAGGTAAAAGATACTTACCTGATCAACAGTTCAGAAAAGGGGAATGCTGAGAATAGGCTTACAAGGACAGAGTAGATAATGAAGTGTTAATCAATTTGATTGACCTCACTTCCTGATTTTTCTGCTCCAAATACTTTACAATACTATGTGATGGAAGAGGTGGCAGTATGACAGGCTACGGCAGGCTGAATTTGCTCAGCTGGAAGGCTAAACCGCCTCAGACCTTATTCCTGGGAGACAGTTCACCAGGGAACTCTCCAGGAGCACAAGCAAAAAGTGGTAATGGTGAAACGCTTGGCAACAGCAACCACAGAAACTGAACAAGCGAAAAGGTTTAATCTAAGCTAATTTTCACAGCTAAACTGATTGGGAATTTTGTTGGCGAGTCCTGTCAAATGCCATAAATTCAGTTGCTGTAGTCCATTCACAGGAGACAATTTATAATCTCTGTATTAACCCCTGTGAGCTTGGAGATAGGGAGTGTCTGCCATCATATGGCTCTTCATTAGAGGCATTTTCATTAAGGTATACCTTTATTTTGTATTATTTAGCTACAGATGAGTGGATTTAGCTTTTTGAATAAATTGCATTTGAAAACAATGAAATTATTTAGAACAGTGTATGTGTGCTGTAGCAGAATTTCAGTGACCATCACTTTGTAGAGAACTATAATTCAGCTTAATTCACATCTGCTATATGAAAGTGCATGTCTTGTCTTTTCAGAAATAGAAATTGTCAGAAAATTGTCTTTTTATTTTTGGAGGTAACTGATGTGACCTTGGCATGTACATCACTAGGATTATATATATATAGGATTATATACTTCCCTTTTTTTCCCTAGCAAGAACGTACTTTTCCTAAGTACTTTTGAACACATACAATTTGGCTGCTGGAAGTGAAGAATTATGCATCTTCTGATGCAAAGTACTACTGTAAAGGCTTTAGTCAAATCAAGGGAGGAGTTAATTTTCTGAGGTTATTTTTGAAAACTATTGCAACAGTTGTTTTGCTTGTTTTAAGGAACTTTGAATGATGATTGTGCTTTTAGTTGTGCATTTTGTTATCGTAAGTGTAGGAGACTTTCAGCTGTTGCAAATCTAAATTTCAGTGCTGAAATCAGTGTTGAATTTAAAATTGATAGCTTGAACTAATATTAATGAAATGGAATTTCAATGTTTAAAATATTTTATCACACAGAAGCTGACACAGCCATACCATAGAAAACAAATTTTGACTGAGATATAAAGCAGGTAGTTTTTATAGTATTCATATTCTGAGTGCCTTTGAGTACTTTGCTGATGAAAAAAACCAGCAATGCCGTAAATCTGAAGACTCTCCAGGAAAACTTTTAATTTGGTTTCGTACTCTTACTGAAGCATGTGTATTCTGAGAATTTTCTCTAGAAGAATTAGTTGTCATGCATTCTTGAGATAAGTTAGCCTTTGCCTTTATAAGCCTGTATAGTATTTCTAATCTTGATTCAGTTGCATTTTTGCAAGGTAATGCAAGCAAAAGCATTCATGACATTGAAAGCACCAGTCTCTGCAGAGGATTAAAAAAAAGGCTGGT